ACACACACCTACACACTTAAGTCCTTCAGGTTGAACAAACATTTATTAAGCAGCTCTGGAGGGTGATGACTGTGTAGAAGGTGAGGCAGGTGCATGGCCAAGAACTTATTTCCCAGACAGGGTGACGGTGCTGTGATGGAGGTCCAAACAGTTTGCTGTGGGGACCTGAATGGGTCCAGCTGGATGGATTGGAAAAGTCAGCTGCGGCCCATTTCAATCAGAGCTTTGTTTTTCCCAGCTTTGTTAGTAGTTGATTGTCTCAATTTTGGTTAGAACAGAATCAGCTGTTAGCATTGTAGAACTCTCCAGACCAGCTATGCTTCTGTGCTTCTTAATAACAGCTCATATTTATTTATGCAGCTTTTCCACACAGCCTCCAACATACATTATTTTGTTTTACCCTCCCGCTACCCCTGTGAACCAACTCTGGCAGAAATCGGGGCGGGCTCACTGCTGCCACCCGGTAGGAACCCAATGTGTTTTTGTTGAATGAGGTTGGCTGGCTAGCTGGAGGAAGGAAATTACCTTTTTAGTTTAAATGGCTTTCCTAAAATGTCACAGGTCTTTAATGACAGACTCGGAACAGAATCCAGCCGTTCAGTGATTTTTGTCCACTGTCCACTGTCTTACTCTGCTTTTATGTACCAAGCAGTCAGGAACTAGCCCTTCACCAGGTGGGAGTAGCACTCTTCCGTGGAATTTCTGACCTTACCGAAGTGGACATATTTTTCATAGGGCCTTCTGGTTATTTTCATGCTCTGTATTGATATGCAAAATGCAGTAAAACAGGAAAAGAAATATTTTCTTGATTTATAAGAGTCATCAACACTATTATCATAACTCATTTGGAAGCCTATGATCTGTGTAGAACATTTACATTGATTAAAGTCACCTTTTCACACTTGCCTGCTTTTGCCGGATGGAAGGAATGTCTCAGTATGAATGAACCTAAAACTTCAAGCAAAAGTGATTTATGGATTTTTCTATCAACCACATGTATACCTAAGTTTCCATTCAAAAGAGGATATAGTCAGAGCCTTAAAGACATGATGGGGAGAAAAATCCAACACCTTCCCAGGTTTGTCATAGTGCATAGTAATAATTACAGTTACAGTTTCAGACTAGTTTTTTTTTTTCTTTCATCCATTACCAGTCTATCATAAATATTTTCCATTTTACTCTGTAGATGCTCTAATTACCATTTTAATAACTACATAATATTCTGTCACAGTGATGCACCATCATTAGCTGAATTTTGCACCTCATTCTTGGGCATGATTTCCTGTTATTTGTTACTACCGATAACATTGCAGTGAATAGATTTTAATTACAGACCACCGTGTTTCACTTTGATGCCCACGACTCAGACAGATGCCCAGAATGGGGGCTTGATGTGTAAAACTCACCCATGTTCCTTGGATAGCTACTGCATGCTTAACATCGTGTTATAGATGCTAGAATATTCTAAGGTCATTCTTTCCCTCAGGAAATGCAAGGTTTTGCTGAGAAGGAGCTAGATGTACACAAGACCCGTAAAGCCATAGAAGAGAATGCAGCATGACATTTTCATTTGGATAGACACCAAGGGCTCTAAGATTTATATAAAAAAAAAAATCTGCAAATCAAAAGGAATAGTGGGAAGGTAGAGGACAAAGCACAGGGTCTGGCTTGCTGGTGTTCCCACCTCCCCGAGGGCTGGGGCCTGCCTTCGCTCTGTCTCAGCCCAAAGCTGTACTTCTTGTACATACCGACTGATTGCCAAGTCCAAAGAAATTAGTGACAAGGAGCAGGTGATCCCCAAATCATCAGAAGGAGGCATGCAGGGAGGGAGTCAGGAGATAAAGAAACTCTGCAAAGGGGGTCTCAGTAGGGAGGAGGTGACGGAGGAGCTGCCACCAAACACAGAAAATACCGTTGGGGCCAGGGCTTAGGCAAGAGGCTCTAGGAGACTGGAGGTTTGTGTTTGCTTCACTCTTCTGGAAAGTAGAAAAACTGTCAGGAAACACATTAATCCTGCTAAACAATGTGATGATATTTCATTCAGATATGGATTTAATAAACATGTATTAGGTATCAGCAGGGCCATTGTGTTCTGGGAGCTGTGCTAAGCTTTGGGGCTGAATTTCTGAATAAAATGTGGATCTTATGATCTATTAAAAGAGACAGATTTACCAACCAATATCTGTCAGACAGCAGAATAAAATGAGTGCTCAGTTGTAGAAAGGAGTGGTGCATTTTGAGTCAGACGATCAAGTGGCTCCTGAGTGGCATTTGACTTGGGCTTTGAAGGCCGAGGGCTTCCACAGGCTGAGAATGGGACAGCAGTAAGGAAGATATCCGGCTTGCGCAAAGACCCAGGGGCAGGAACAGTGTGCTTGAAAGCCACGGGTGGTCAGTTAAGAGAGGAATAGAGGCTTTGCACAGAAATGTGGTTAATCAGAGACTGGAAAAATGTGTGGGGCCAGGTCAGTGAGAATCCATGGATGCCAAGGAATGTAAGCTGAGTTCTCCTTCCAGGGACAGCTACTGAAGGAGCTGATAAAGCTCCCCCACTCTTTGGAAGCTCTGGATTTAGCTTGAACCAACGCGCCAGTTTCTTGTTGCTCATAAATTTGCTCCAAGACTGATTGTCACTGGGGCCCTGGCATATGCTGGAGCACCTGTCGCCTCTGGCTGCAGCCACCCAGCCAGCTGACCTTTGCCCTTGCACATGAGGCGGGAGCCTCTGTCCAAGCTCTGCTCTGTTCCCATCTCTTGGATGCAAACCAGCCTTGCCTTTGCCATCCCCATATTGAATCAGAGACCCCACAGACAATGAGCCCAATGTGCCTCCAGGAGAGGACAGAATCAACTGTATATAATCTAGGTCACCAAGGAAATAAGGTACCAAGGCAGAACTGCCTCAGGAATGCTATCCGGAGGCTTCTACGGGAACCTAACTGGCATTTTGCCTTGACTTCTCCAATCCATGTACCACTGAGTGTCATGCCCAGCACTAATAACACAAGTAGTAAAAAGGCTGGTCTCTTTGACAATTAAGAGCAAAGAATTTTCTGTTTCCAGTTCTTCTAAAAGAACTTCTGTCTTGAGAGGCCTCACTTACATGGTGTATCTGTGGATGATTTGTTCATTTCAACTAAATTTAATCGAGTGATTAGAACTTGCACAGCATTATATCGAATGTTGTTTTGAATGCGTGGGTGAAACCGATACAGATCCTTCTTTCAGGAACACACAGTTTTCAATAGAATTGAGACCCAGCCTCAAGAGAAGGCAGGCGAAAAGCTGTAACCTTTGAGAGGAGAAATTGATTTCTTCCAGCTTAAGAGAGAGAGAGAGAGGCAAGACCGAGCAAAACTTGGGAAAGAACGTCATATCTGAATGAGGGTAAAGGGAGGCATCGAAGCATGAATGGAATTTGGGCAGTGGTTGAGGGGGGCAGGTGGATGAAGAGCATTCGGGTGCTGGGGACAGAAAAGTTAAAAGCCCAGAGGTAGAACAGGGTGGGATCTGGAAGCCGCTTGAGATCAGAAGCATTGCCTTTTATCTTGGTATCTTCAATGCCTTGCCCAGTGGTTCAATAAATATCTAGTGAGTCTGTGAATGAGCGAAATGAGAAAAAGGAGTTTGATTTAGTGGAAGCCTAGGGAACATAAGAGGAGTAATGAGAAAGGATGTTGCAAAGGCCATGCCTTGAATGAATGTGGACTTTATTCGGCAGGGAATAGAGAAGTCGTTGAGAGGTTTTAGCAGGGTTAGGTTGTGATGAAAGCTGTCCTTCAGGCAGATTAACCTGATGTGTAAGACTGCCTTGAGTGAGGTACGGAGACCGTTTGGGAGGTTATGGCTGCAGTCCAGGCAAGGGGTAATAAGCACTTGAATTAGGGCAGCAGCAATGGGAACAGAGGAGGGGTCAGATGTGAGAGAGAACAGGGAAACAGAATTGACCACAGGCCGGTGGGTTGTTTGGGAGAGGGAGAGGGAGAAGCAGAGATAACAGGGAGGTTTGAAAGCCTAGGTGGCAGAGAGGATGTGATGCCATCAACAAAAATAGGTAACCCAGGAGGTGGTGCTAGGAAGACAGGGAAGCCGATGAGCTCTGTTTTGCACACACTGAGATGCGGAGATAAGTTCTGTTCTACCTGTACCATGAATCAACCCTTTATCGAGGAGATGCGTGAGGGTGGTGGATGGGCTCCCTGGGCCCAGCAGCTGCCTCGTCCCATTTTTATGGACTAGGTCAAGACCTAAGTCATTTCCTGAATACTGATTTTACAGACAAACTCTCGAACTGTGCTTTACACAGAGACTATTTTGGGAAAAGAATCTTCTGTTTTAATAAAGATTTGCGATAAAAACATGCCAGCATTCTTCCTTTTCCTCATTATTAATGAATTAGGAGATACTCAAACCTAATAAAAAAAGCACATAAAAGGCTCATAAGCATCCTTCAGATCTTCTTTACCAGTCAGTCATTTTCATTTTATAAAGCTAGAATTTCCAGTTTTTAAATATTGTAGAAGAGCAGAATTTGACTGTAGTTTTAACATGCTATTTCCACAACCACACACAAAAAAAAGTGTTGAATAAGCACTCTCTATGGACTGGTACCATACTAAACACTGCAAAATAGTGAGAAAAAGAGAAAAAGGAAAGGTTTCCACACTCAATGAGGCCACAGTCTAACAGAGGGGTTAAACAAAGCAATAAACACATTTATTGTGATATATACCATCATAGAAATGTAAGCAGGCAAGAGATGGTGGCAACTTGAGATTTATTTTATATGTTTAGAGAAAGGATGTGGGAAGACTTCATGGGGGAGGTGACATTTGCCAAGGGATTTAGAGCATTATTTTGGAACAATGAATAGAAGCATTCTAAGCAAAGACAGAAGGTTGAAAAAAAAATGAAGATGATTGTAGAGCTTTCGGGAAAGAAGGAAAGGAAATGAGTAGCCAGATCATGGAGGACCATTGTATATGTCAAAGGCAAAGAATCAAAGGCTTTCATTTTGAGAAGGGGGTGAAATTTGCACTCTTGTTGGGGTTACCATGACAGTGCTTCTGAGAATGTCTTTGAGACATATGGGACAGGGAAGGACCAGTTACAAGTGTTGCCATAGTCCAGGTGACAGATGATCAAGGTTAGAAGGGATGGAGAATCAAGAACAAACATAAAGGATAGCTTCAGGACGTAAAATCAATTGAACTTGTTGATTAATGAAAGAAAAAGAGGGGTCGAGGATAAATCTCAGGTTCCTGGATGATGATGACACCTGTTGAGAAAGAAAATACAAGAAACAACTTGAGACAATTTGAGACAAAAAAGATGAAAGAGTGCATTTGTATTGTTCCATTTATATGAAATACCAAAACAGGAAAAAACTGATCTTTGTGGAATAATATCATCTTGGGGGGTGGGTGGCAGTATTGATTGTAAAAGAATATGAGAGGATTTTCTGTGCTGATGGATATGTATCTGAACAGGGTTATGGGTTACTTGGATGCATGCATTCATCAACCCAGGGAATGTCAAGTCAAGAGACAATTGGTAAAACGTGAGCATGTATTGAATAGAACTGCTAAAATTTCTGATTTTGATTATGGTGCTGTGATTATGTAAGAAATGTTCTTGTTGTTAGAAAATACAGAGTGAGGTGTTCGGTCCTAAAGGAGCAAAATGCTTTAACTTACCCTCCAGTGGTTCAGAGAACAAAGACCACACACAAATTGGGAAAGAGAGACGATGGGGAGGGGGAAAAGGAGGGAAGAGGAAGAAAGCAAGACAAAATACAAACAGTTGGGATACGGTGCATAGGGGAATTGTAAATCATTGCAACTTCTTGGTGAAGTTTGAATGTAAACTTTTCTGCAAAGTTTACATATAAATAAAATAAGTCTAAACCAAGACTGGAAAGAAAAGGGAGGTGACAAATTCCTAGGAATTTAGAGATGGAGAAACAGAATATGGAAGTCAT